CTCTTAACACAGCTAAATTTAATAGCAAACCTATGACTTAATTTATTCATGTATTATTTGGATTGTTTTTTGTTAAATTATTTTATTTTAAGTATGTATATTTCAAAAAATATCATTTAAAAATATCAATACCGACTAGGTGGAATGATTCGAAATTGAATTTTGGAGGTAAAATGATTTTTGTGCTGAAAGTATTGATTATTAGAATTTGTTTACGTGATCAGCAATCAATGTTTCAGAGTCCAATAAAAATGCCAGTACTAAGGTTTTTACAAACTTGGCATACATAAAATTGGTGAGAAGAAAGTCTGTGACGTGTCATGCTTGTTGAGAAAAATTCAGTCTACGAGAGGTAATGCAGAATTTTTAGGTTGAATACTTGGGTGTTGTTAGGGCATTCAGAGGGAAACCAATGAGCGTATAAGAATGTTGGAATTGTGCATTTTTTTATTGTTGTTTTTTGGACGTAAGAGATAGAGTCAAATAGGAGAGAATTTGATGCCACCCATGGGGCGTTCTTTTTAAATTAAATTTCAGTGTGTCAAGGGGTGCAATAATCATCTCCCAAATTGGCTTTGCAAGATTAATTGGCTAGCCATAAAGCAAAGTTGCATTTAAAATCTGCAATAAACTATCTTTATAAAATTCAATTGGAAAAATTAATTCATTGAAAATTATGCCTTGCATTTAAAACCGTGCAGAACTTTAATAAAATTTTTTCAAAGGTTTATATTTTTAAATTTACCATTAAATAAATACTTGTCAAATTCAACATTTGAGCAAATTTATAAGTTAGCCTGAATTTTGAAATTGACCTTGAAATTTTATTCTAGTTATTCCAAACTCCACGTAGTTAGTCAATTAAAAGGAAGATCTGACGTAGAAACTTCGGGTTTGCACTCCCAAATCCTGGGAGATTATTATCTACCTAATTTTGGCACGCAAAGAAACTAGAATCTTCCTTGTTTGGGGAGGATTTGGATACATTTCAACCTTGTCCGTCAGCTGTTGCTTGAAACAAATGATTTTTGTTTAGGCAGATACCCACGCCTTTTTATCAAAATAATGCCATAAAGTTAGTTTGCTTTGTATATCCGCACAATACGCGGTATGTTTCGGGTCGTTGCAAGGAGCCAGTTATAGAAGGAGTTCGTGGATACAATTTGGGCACAATTTTGTAAATACACTTTTATTATTTTTTTTCCTGAGAATTTAACAGTTTAATTATTTATAAATTTACACCTATCGTAGCGCAAGCTCTTCTGAATATCAGAAGGATACTTACCTGAGTGCTGAATGCTCAGAGATCCGTGACTTAAGAATCCCTCAGGGAAATCTTGCAACGAAGCACCACCAAATATCGTTCCCATGTGTTGTGTGATAAATTTTCAGAGTGTGTATGAAAAGAAAAGCGGAGTCTTTGCATTATTGAAGAGTTCACGCATTAGTGTCTCATTCTGAGACTTTGTAGTAGCGGCAGTGACTGTCTATCTCCCAGATCCTTTCCAAAAAACTACCTCAAATTCATAAAAATCTCATGCTCATATATTACACAATCGGATCCTGTGAACACAATCCTTTATCCTCTACGAAAATAACATATAGCCCTAAGTACTTGAAATCATAAAAAAAACTTTACATAGTCGTGCCAGTATTCCGGTTGACTTCATTTTGTTTAAATGTTAATTTGGACGAGTTCAGTATTCGCGCTGAAAAAAGTCCACTTGGACTTTAGGTTTATTTCAGTAGGTTTCCATCAATCTATTATGACTCATTTGTATATTAATAAGAATTTTATGTTAGCTTATCCCGGGTGCGCGAAAGACTTACCTCCACGTGGTGCACCCTGGACAGCGTATATTCATACGGCGAAAAAGTCTATTACTCGGTATTTGGAGCTAATGATAAATATCACAAAGCCCGCCATTTGAAATAATAATAATAATAATGTTAGCTTATCTTTGGCGAGATTTCAATTCAGACATAACTCAGGATTTCTTTATTTTTGAACTAGTTCAACCCCAAGTATTATTACCCTGGGTTCAGATCAAAATAGGCTCTGATATGCCTTTTTAACACCATAAGGTTAACAAAAAAAGCCATTGGAAGGGAAATTACTGAGCGATGATAATCCAAGTCAGAAGAAAAAGACGATAGATTGATTTTACATCACTTATTGATCGATAAAATGCTATTATTATTTTGAGCGGGGCTTAAGTTAGTAGGTATGCATTACATAGGAAGGCCAAGTAAACCATTTGAAAAACATCTATATTTGAAACTGGGGTGTGCGATAGACTTACCTCCACGTGGTGCACCCTGGGCAACGTATGCTCATACGGCAAACAAGTCTATTAACCGGGAGTTGACTTCAGACTTCAAACTATTATCACCCCACTGTATGTCATATACGATTACCTCCACAGTACTCACCTCACTTTTTTCTACCTTTTGCATCTGTGAATCACTCTTCTGTTCCCCACCCCTCGACTTTCTGCTACTTTGATGAACCTTCCCTCTGTGAAGCCCGAAGTCAGCTAAACGGCTAATTATATCTATCAAAACGCCTGCCATTTGAAATAAATATTTGAGACTTTTTTTCTTTTAAAACGATTCAATTAGTCGTGTCCTTGAAAGAAGAGAAGGAAAAAACCATTGACTCGAGACTATTTTTTGTCATAAAAATAATTTTATTTAAATTAATTTGTCTACAATATGAATGATTGGCTACTTTGCCATTCCCGAATTCCAATAATCGATTAACCACCGCTAAAGTAATGATGCCCAAAGGAACTGACAATGTTCTACTAGGTTTACTGAAACGCATATATTTCTTCAATTGTTAATTAATTTACTGTTGCATTTCATGCAATATTTTTAACAAGCCTATATTTTTTGATAATTATATAAATTCCTTTGTATAAATGATAGTAAATGAACGGTTTCTAATGAAATATTTTTTCATCATTTGACTGTTTCTATACTCAGATTAAAAACGACTTCGATAGCAAATTTATACATAACTTGAAATTAGTTAATTTAGCTTTATGATATTAATAAACAGTTTCCCGTAATCTTATCAAAATTTACCAAATGATGGGGTTATCGGCTTAGTGGGACGAAGGATAATTAAATTTGTGCTAACCCATTGAATCGTTTTCATTTTAGACCATGTGTCAGAATTCCATCCGTCTTTATTCTTCATTAGAATGAAGGAAGGAATTTTCACCATGAGGAAATAAAAATTGATTGAAGAAGTTAAATATATAATACGATATTAAGAAAGGTGGGATATGCGATAGACTTACCTCCACATGGTGCAACCTGGGCAACGTATATCCATACGGCAAAAAAGTCTATTAATCGGCAGTTGACTTTTGATTTCATACTACCATGACCCGACTGTGTGGTCATATTTTACCACTTCCACGGTACTTATCATACATTTTCGCTGCCTCTGTGTCAGTCTGTCTGTCTCTTTTACAACTGTGAATCATTATTCTGTCCCCCTCTCGACTTTTGTCAATTTGATATCCACCCTCCTCTCTGCGAAGCCCGAAATCGGCTAAAGAGCTAATGATGACTAATGTTTGAAATAAATAAATATTAAGAAAGCTTTTAATCGTCCGTTCTCCACCAAACCTCTATCTGGCTGAAAATAATAGAATGTCATTGGCTGCTTTGTGGGATGCCTATTTACTTCAAGTCATTGAAAATATTCAATCTCGTTTGTTATCAGACGCGTTGCTGCTTTCAAATAAGACTGAAGGGCTTTGTCACGAAAACTGTCAACCCCCTCCCCCACCTTATCCAAAACACGTTAAGATTACGTTCATTCATTTTTTACATTCAAAGATGCGTATTTCTGCACGACCTGTCGACAGGACTAAGGAGATTTCGTACTGAATACAGAAAGTCAATTTAAAATGGCTTTTATTTAGATTTAGGAACTACGGAATATTACGAATAATCGCACCCACTAAACACCCATTACTTCCCAGCAAGCGTTTAAAATGTTCACCATGAACGTCGTTTCGCAATTCACAACATTTCCATCGGTTAGTCACATTGTATTAATAAGCACATTATCACCTCACTTTGCCTCAAAGTCCTCATTTACCTGTTTATTTATTGTTCACCTACGTATTCACTCGCCTTCGAACTCTGCCTGACAACTTCGCCTCAACTGACAGTGGACAGGCAATATGTCAAAGGTCGGGGTGTGCGATAGACTTACCTCCACGTGGTGCAACCTGGGCAACGTATATTCATACGGCAAAAAAGTCTATTAACTGGCAGTTGACTTCTCACTTCAAACTATCATCACCTCACTCTATGCCATATTCGACTATTTTCACAGTACTCACCTCACCTTTTTTCCACCTCTGTGTTTGTCTCTTACATCTTTGAAACAATCTTCTGTTCCCCCCTTCTCGACATTTTTCAATTTAATGTTCCTTCCCATTTGTGAAGTCTGAAGTCAACTAAAGGGCTAATGATAACCATCAAGACGCCTGCCATTTGATATAANCTGGTAATTAAGCGATTTCAGTGACCATAGGGTGGGGTGTGTGATAGACTTACCTCCACGTGGTGCACCCTGGGCAACGTATACTCATACGGCAAAAAGTCTATTATTCGGCAGTTGACTTCCGACTTCAAAACACCATCACCTCACTGTATGTCATATTCGACTACTTCCACAGTACCCACCTCACCTTTTTCACTCTACCTTTGTGTCTGTCTCTTTTACATCTTTGAAACACTCTAATGTTTCCCCTCCCCTCTCGACTTTTTTTAGTTTGATGTACCTTCCTCTCTGTGAGGCCTGAAGTCAACTAAAGGGCTTATGATAACTATCAAAATACCTGCCATTTGATATAAACAAAGTGACCATAGGATATGACAACGGGCGTGTAATGATTTTGCTCAATATTTCTGCCAATTGATTTTTCTAAGTTTTCCACTACCCATATCTAATGATTTACACTGCCACTTAATCATAATTTCAGCCTACTGATATCAAGATTGTCACCCGTTGTCTGCTCCTTCTCTATATACAGGTTTTCCACAAATTTCTTATAACGCAAAATAGGAGTAATACAGTATATAGTGAAAACCATCCTGAAGAATAGTCCAAAGTCATTCCATACTTGTGACAATAATTCTTCTTAGCAATGGAAAGGGCTAGTTTGGTGCTTTTCGTGTGATAACATAAACATACCCAGACTGTAAGTTTTCGAATCCAAAATGAGACTCCAGTCTTCACTTCCCATGGAAACCGAGGCACCAATTAGACAACCTCGCGTGAAAATGGCCCATCCATGTCCGTCCATAACAGCGGAGACTTCACTGTCCCCGGCATCGCCCGAGTTGAAGATGTAACGGATGCGTGACTTACTGACAGACTGTAGAGATAGCCAAACCGAGATTGTCATTCCATGGGTACCGCATGATGTCGCTGAGGGATCGTATAGACAGTGGTTCAGCCACAATAAATCATCCGGAGTAGGTTGACTCTCCCATCTTCGACCTTAGAGCATGAGTAGGAAAGACGGATGAAAAAAAGATTTGTTTTAACCTAACATTTGTAAGGGATGTAGATGGAAAAATGCACAGAAGATGACTCTAGTCTCAGGCAACTAAAGATACTTTTCTACTAACCGACTGGGGAAAAGTTTAAAGTTATAAGAGAACGGAAAATGTATCGATTTCGCTTGCCCTTTTATGATTATTACCTGGGGTGTGCGATAGATTTACCTCCATGTGGTGCACCCTGGGCAAAGTTTACTCATACGGCAAAAAAAGTCTATTAACTGGCAGTTGACCTCTGACTTCAAACTTCCATAACCCCAATGTATGTCATATTCGACCCCTTTCACAGTATTCATCTAGCCTTTTCTCTGCCTTTGTGTCTGTCTGTTACATCTGTGAATCGCTCTTCTTTCCCCCTGTCGAATTTTTCTCACTTTAATGTTCCTCCCTTCTGTGAAGCCCGAAGTCAACTAAAAGGGCTAATGATAACTATCAAAATGCCTGCCATGTGAAATAAATNACAGTGGACAGGCAATATGTCAAAGGTCGGGGTGTGCGATAGACTTACCTCCACGTGGTGCAACCTGGGCAACGTATATTCATACGGCAAAAAAGTCTATTAACTGGCAGTTGACTTCTCACTTCAAACTATCATCACCTCACTCTATGCCATATTCGACTATTTTCACAGTACTCACCTCACCTTTTTTCCACCTCTGTGTTTGTCTCTTACATCTTTGAAACAATCTTCTGTTCCCCCCTTCTCGACATTTTTCAATTTAATGTTCCTTCCCATTTGTGAAGTCTGAAGTCAACTAAAGGGCTAATGATAACCATCAAGACGCCTGCCATTTGATATAAATAAATAAATATGTCAAAGGCCTTATCCTACCTCTTAAAGCAACCCATTTGGTAGAAACCTAATTGTACTTTTTCAGTAAGCACGGCTTTCCTTGCCACTTCTTTCTTTTCCTAATTTGCCCGTCACGTTCCCGCTACGCCCTTAAAAGTGTCAAATTAACTCCATGTTTTCTCAATCGGTAAAAAATCCCTAATTTCCGAGGAACATTGATTTATTTGATGTAAATCTCAAACGGAATAGTTAAGTAAGGAATGCAATAGTCTTGTGTTTTGATTAGAAATCCCACCCCCAAGAAAGTTTGTGAAAGAAACAAAATAGTATAAATATGTGAATCAACGTAGTTTGACAACCAATGCCCCTCCTATTTAAGAGGGAGACAGTGTGAAATGCATTAATTTTAAAGTAAATCATTAGTGACCGCTTTTAATATGAAGTCTCTAACTTTCAAAGGATTCCACACAATTCCTACAAGTATACAGTTTAATAACTGGAAGTTTTGATGGTTAATTTTGATATCTGTCTGATTATTAGTAATGATTGGTAATAACCGCTTCAATTGAATAAATGATTTCATTGTGACGAATAATTGTTTAATTTTTTTAAAAAAAATAAAAATACTCTAAAATAGTCATTTTAATAGAGTTAAGCTGACTCATTTACATTTCAAAGAAGCATCGATACGCATGTTTCAGTTTTGATTATATTCATCTAAAGCCATAGAGAATTTAATTAAATTTTATAAAGATGTGCTTTTATTAACCATAAAAACATGCGCACATTTTTAGCCCAATTTCCTAAATGCTACTTTGAGGCTTAATTTGAAAATTGTCACTAATGGGTGGGTAAATATATCTTTTTTCTTCCACTTCAGTCGGTATCCTATAATTTTACACATAGATAACTTATTTTTTAATTAATATTTATTTCAAATGATAGGCGTTTTGATAGTTATCACTAGCCCTTTGGTTGACTTCGGGCTTCACAAAGAAAGGAGGAGGAGGAACATCAAAGTAACAGAAAGTCGAGGGGTGGGGAGCAGAAGAGTGATTTACACAAAGGCAGAGAAAAAGTAAGATGAGTGCTGTGGAAGTGGTAGAATATGGCATACATTTGGGACATTGTAGTTTGAAGTCAGAAGTCAATTGTCGGTTTGATAGACTTTTTTGCCGTATGAGTATACGTTGCCCAGAGTGCACCACGTGGAGGTAAGTCTATTGCACACTCCACACATAGATTATAGTTATGATGTCATTACTG